TGACACTTTTTGTTCACATGAAAGAAATCAGTATTTTTTGCTAGGAAATTTAAATTTAAACCCCAAACATTATATATTTGTTTAAAGTAGACATCCTAGTGAATAAAATGGTGGGTGCTACAATTTTTCATATCACAATGATTATTCAAATGCAAATTAAAAAAATGCACTTTTTTACTTTTAATGCACAAAAACACAATATGGGGTTGGCCAATTATTTGTAAAATATAAAAGATGATGGTATGCCCGAGTAAATAGATACCAAACATGACATGATTTTTAAAACTGTACATGCCCCATGCAATGGCGACAAACTGCAAACATTTTTAACATCCATAGGCAACGTTTTAAAAGCCTTTACAAGCTACCATTTTAGATTTACAGAGGAGGTCTGGTGTTAGAATTACTGCCCTTGATCTGACGTTCGTGGTGATACCTGACATGCATGGTGCAAACCGCTGTTTACATACCGGTACAGGGTCAACACTCCTGCACACAGGTGTGAACGTGCGTGGGGGGGGCAAGGTTTTTTTTTCATTATTTTGTTATTTTGATTTTTTAAATTATTTTTTACACTGTCCCTTTAATTTTTTTTTTAATCACTTTTTAATGCTATCACAGGGAATGCAAATATTCCCGATAAACTTCAATGGGCATTGCCATATATTCTTTTTTGAGAAAATCTGGGGTCTATCAGACTCTAGATATCTCCTCTTGCCCTTACATTATCTAATCTCACCAAGATCGGTGATCAGATGCTTTCCCAATTTACAAATGGTGCTGTTTTATATCCTGCAGAAACTGAAGTGATGAAATGCTCGTAGCTTCCGAATTCTTAGACTATAGAGATGATTGGCACCATTCTGGTCTCTGATCGGCTCTATGGTCAGCTGGCAGAAACACCGGCAGCCCTGATGGCACGGGTACTCGGGACTGCCCGAGAAGGCCATGGAAGGCAGCGGGAGAGGGGGAGGCATCACCTCCCTATGAAAGCAATCCTGCTGCTAATTATTTTTTAGGATTGCACTTACATAAAAGCCGATCGTTTTGGCTGAAAAAAATGATACCAGGATGATGCCTGCAGATGTAGGCATCACCCTGATATAACGAAAGTCCAGGGATGTACCAGTACGTCTCTGGTCCTTGTTGGGTATATATATACTATGTTCTTTTTTTTTTGTATGCAGCCTGTGGACTGAATGACAAAAATGAGAAGAAATCTCTGCCAGAAAAAGTGTGTGTGGTATGGCCCACAATTAGAATATACCGCCCTGCATCCACCCACTTCTAATGGTGGGCACACATTAGGTCACACGGTGCCACATGCACCAGTTCCAAGATTGTACAAAATGTCTAAATAGTGGCACACTGAATAAAAATTGTCCACATATAGTGGTACCCTGGTACCACACTTGGGAAAAAGGTCCACATATAATGTACAAGGATGACCACCGGAGTCCCAAACTATCTTGCCACTGCTCCCCATGTAGTCTGGGCATCCAGGGGGGGCTCCACGTGACTATCTTTTCCCTCGTAAATCCAAAACTTATAAGTATAGCCTGTTGCCCTCTCACAGGTCTTCTACATCTTGACCCCATATTCTGGCACGCTTGCCGGCAAATACACTGGCACAAGCTTGCCCGGGGAGAAATTGTTTGTATGCAAGGTGGCCAGAAAAAATTAAAGAGGGACTCATCAACGCAGATGTTTTGCTGGGGAGTATAGACCATCTGCAATTTTTAGGTTAAGGTGATTTGCGAGGGGCTGAATTTTGTGGAGGAGCCGGTCAAATAAATTCAGGGTCACCCTGAGACTGACAGAGTGTATTGTCGCTGAAATGTATAAATCACATTATACTCTCATATATCTATGCCTGGCCATGGCAGCAGAGAACACGGCATATGATTAATCGGGTCTGTGGACCAATACAACCGCAATTCATTTCTTTTAGTAAAGCCCATGTTGAGGGTTAGGCCCAAAAAAATGTAAATTTGAAAACTGTAATGGGTTTCCATGTGAATGGTCTGGCAAGGTTTGAATTTGGGTTGCGATAAATTGTTGTGCATATAAATTGCTTTGATCCACAATCAATGCACACAGATATTCCGTGAAAAACAGCTCCAGTAATCAAGGAGGTATGTGAAAGACCAGGATGTACTAGACGCTGGTACTCGCCAGTTCACCAAAAGGTAGCGTGGCACTAGTACTGGCACTTGCTTATGAGAGTCATCAAAATTTACTGGCAAGTGCTAACAGAGATCAGGCCTGATTCTGAGAACACTGCGGTTTTGTGTGCAATGTATCAAGTGACAGTGTCCTACTGACACTGCACTTGCTGGGGGAGAAGGGGGGGTAAGCGTAGGGGCTAAGTGCAGGTGTTGGCAGGTGCCGGGGCTGATCCCGCTAACGCTTTTGGGGACGCTATTGGACGCTATACTAATGTGAACGCTGGTATAGTGCTGATCTGGTCAAAGACATTGACCCGTTCAGACACTATACTAGCAATGGAGGTTTATTGTGGATGAGCGTGCTTCTGGCAATCAAGGGGTTAAATGTGATAACTGGTGTACTGACGGGCAATCTGACGCTATCTGGGAGGGGTGTGAAAACCACGGGAGCGCAAAACATGTATATATATGTGATTTTGCACACCCATGCCGCCTTGTAGCAGTATTTCTGCTATATGGCGGTCAGGAAGCGGTTACAGAAGAGGTTTGTGTTACGGCGCTGCGTTACTTTAACTGACAATTGCGCGGTCATGCCACACTGCACCCAAATTAAATTTACATCCTTTTTTTCCCACAAATTGAGCTTTCTTTCGGTGGTATTTGATCGCCTGTGCGTTTTTTATTTTTTGCGCTATAAAAAAAAAGGCTGACAATTTTGAGAAGAAAAAAAACAATATTTTGGACTTTTTGCTATAAAACATGTCTAGTAAAAAAATTTAAAAATAAAATTTCATCATAAATGTCTTTGCTAAAAAAAAAAACCAATACGTGTAAATTAATTGGTTTACATGAAAGTTATAGTGTTTACAAATGGCGGGAAAGATACTGGGATTTTTAGGTTGTTTTTTTTTATACTAATAATGGCGGCGATCAGCGACTTATGGCGGCGATCAGTGACTTATGGCAGCGATCAGGGACTTATGGCGGCGATCAGAGTCTTATGGCAGGACTGCGGGACTGCGGCGGACATTCTTACACTGGGGGGGAACTGACTTGGGGTCACTGACATCCCCAGTGACACCAATACAGTGATCACTGCAAAAAAAAAATAAATACTGACACTGTACTAATGGCACTGGGGAGGAAGGGGTTAACATTTTTATTCAATGACAGGGTTAACTGTGTGAGGGGAGTGTTTTACTAGGGGGGTGAGTACTGCAGTGAGACACGCTGATCTGGACAGATAAACTCTTCTGTCCCGATCAGCTTGTCAGGAGCTGACAGGGAACTGACTGTCAGGAATGGACTTGCCAGTAATGGTGGGACTCACCTGCCTTGTGGGCTGCAGTACCAGGGCTGGCCAGTGGGTGCTCTCAGCAATTAGAGACTCAACCCTGCAGCCAGCCAAACACCTGAAGCTGATTATGCAGGTGTATTTAAGGGATGGCCAGACCTGCAGTCTGGGCCTTGGTGTGTGTTTTTCCTGGGCCCTGTATCTGGTTCCTGCATTCCTGTTCCTGTCTGACTGATTCGTTGCTGACCCTGCCTGATCCAGACCTCTGCTGACTTCTCCTGTTTGATCCCTGGCTTGTGACCCCGACTATTCTTTGCCTGACCCCCTGTACCTACCTGCCCGTTAGTTGCTGTACCCGGCTCGTGACCTGACTACTCTCTGCCTGCTCCTCCTGTTCCTACCTGCCCGATTGTTATTGAACCGGCCTGCCTGACGATGCTTGCATTGTATGTATTGTTATCTGTGGGTGGTTTGGTTTGGTTCGTTTGCACTGTGTTATGTTTTAGTATTGCACTGCGTTTTGTATTGTTAGTGTTAATAAATTATATTGTTTATAACATATCTGAAGCCTGCGTTTCCCTGCGTCAGTCACATACCTCTGGTCATACCCTGGAGCCCTGACATTACACCAAGGCCAATCCTGACCAGAAGTGGCTGCACAGGGAAGCCATCTTGGCTTGTTTCTGGGAAGGATGGATCTTGATGAGGTTGTGTATTTGTCGCTGCTGGTTTTTGATGACAGAGAATATGCTTATCAGACTCTGAAGGAGTATACCCGGGATCAACTGCTAGAATGTATACGGATCGTTCATGTTCTAGTAGATCAGGGCACATAGTTCTCTGAGGTGCAACCTTTGATTCAGGTTTGTGTAGAGTTGGTTTCACCTGGTACCCCTGAAAGCAGGAATGACTTTTTGCCACCATTTAGTGCAGACCAGGTAGAGTCCCTGGTATGGTTATTAGAGCATGATGTGGATTGCTTCTTGGAACATTATGCTGCATGTTCACCACAGGTATTAAGGGATTGTATAAACGCAGTGCAGTCTTTGACCCGACAGGCTTTGTGTAAGCTGAGCTTTGTTCAACCCATACTGCAGACATGGTCAGACTTGTTGCACCCAGCCTCAGTCAGCTTGCAAAAACCCAGTCCTGCTTTTAATCTATTTCTTCAAAGCTCTATTCCTGCATTCCCAACAGCACCTCCAGTGACAGCCCAGTATACCCTGCTATCTACCGCATGTCAGTACCCTGTTCCCACTCGCTGCACCTATCCGGCCTTTAACTCTGTAAAGAAGTCCTCTGTAGCAACTGTTCCCTCCCCTGTTCCATCCTCCAGCTCTTCTCTGTCTCCAGCTGCTCCATCCATTTAGAATCTGCCTTCCGGGGTGCAGCCTGGTGCCTCGGCGCCCACAATTCAGCCTGATGCCTCTACCCAGCCTGATGCCTCCATTCAGCCTGATGCCTCCATTCAGCCTGATGCCTCCATTCAGCCTGATGAACTGATCCAGCCTGATGATCCTATTAGGCCAGTTGACTCGATGCCCGCTGTCGATCCAGACGATCCGGTACCTGATGACCCAGTGCCCGCTGTCATGCCTGGTGACCCGATGCCCGCTGTCGAGCCAGACGATCCAACACCAGATGACCCGGTGCCCACTGTCAATCCAGACGATCCGGTACCTGATGACCCGGTGCCCGCTGTCATGCCTGGTGACCCGCTGCCCGCTGCCGGGCCAGACGACCCAATGTCAGACCCAGTGCCCGTGGTCATGCCAGTTGACTCGGAGCCCACTGTCGTGCCTGGTGACTCGTGCCCACTGCCTTGCCAGATGACGCGGTGCCCCCGCTGGCGAGCCAAATGACCTGATGCCTGGTGACCCAGTGTCCGCTGTCATACCTGGTGAACCGATGCCCGCTGTTGAGCCAGACAATCCCATGCCTGATGACCCAGTGCCCGCTGTCATGCCTGGTGACCCAGGTATGGAATAGGTTGTTATGAAAGGACAGACCCGTGAAGTTGGTGTTTTCATTGTGTCAATGAGCATTTGGTCCCTATCAGGACCAGCCACAGTTTTGAGAGTATTATCCAGCGTATTTACACTGTAACCTTTTTCTACAAATCTATCTTTAAGGACTTTAGCCTGAGAATGGTAATCATCAATATTTGTGTAATTTCTACGAATTCTTGTGTTCTGGCCCTTGGGAATATTTTGTAACCACGTCGGGTGGTGTCAACTATCCATAGGAATATAACTATTCCGGTCTGTTTTTTAAAAAAATGATTTCATCGTGACATTACCATTTATGTTCATTATAGTAAGGTCTAAAAAGTTCATTTCTGATTTGCTGTAGGAATGTGTTAGATTAATGTTCAGGATATTATTATTTAAGGTGCTAAAGAAATTCGTTAAGGATTGCTCGTCTCCATTCCAAAAAAGAAGGATATCATCTATATACCTTTTGTATAGTAAAAGTTCCGGCCAATCACAAGCATCAATCAGGTCTTCCTCCCAGTAAGCCATAAACAGATTAGCCAAGCTAGGGGCAAATGTGGCCCCCATGGCCACGCCTTTAATCTGTAGATAATATTCCTTATTGAACCAAAAATAATTTTTTTGCATTGCAAATAGAGATGAGAGCGAATTATTCAAAAATTCGATTCGGCTGATTCGGCGAATTTCAGGAAGAAATTCGATTCGATGCGAATTTATTCGCTACGAAGTTAACTTATAAAAAGGGTTTCTAGGCTTCAGAGAGCCTTTAAATTAGTGCAGAACACTGTACCTTTAATTTAAATGCCCTTGGAGATGAGGAAGGAGAAGGAGAAGGCTGAGAAGAAGGAGAAGGCTGAGAAGAAGGAGAAGGAGAAGGATGAGAAGAAGGAGAAGGATGAGAAGAAGGAGAAGGAGAAGGATGAGAAGAAGGAGAAGGAGAAGGATGAGAAGATGGAGAAGGAGAAGGATGAGAAGATGGAGAAGGAGAAGGAGAAGGATGAGAAGATGGAGAAGGAGAAGGATGAGAAGAAGGATGAGAAGAAGGAGAAGGATGAGAAGAAGGAGAAGGATGAGAAGAAGGAGAAGGATGAGAAGAAGGAGAAGGATGAGAAGAAGGAGAAGGATGAGAAGAAGGATGAGAAGAAGGAGAAGGATGAGAAGAAGGATGAGAAGAAGGAGAAGGATGAGAAGAAGGAGAAGGATGAGAAGAAGGAGAAGGATGAGAAGAAGGATGAAAAGAAGGAGAAGGATGAGAAGAAGGATGAGAAGAAGGATGAGAAGAAGGATGAGAAGAAGGAGAAGGATGAGAAGAAGGATGAGAAGAAGGAGAAAGATGAGAAGAAGGAGAAGGATGAGAAGAAGGAGAAGGATGAGAAGAAGGAGAAGGATGAGAAGAAGGAGAAGGATGAGAAGAAGGATGAGAAGAAGGAGAGGATGAGAAGAAGGAGAAGGATGAGAAGAAGGATGAGAAGAAGGAGAAGGATGAGAAGAAGCAGAAGGATGAGAAGAAGGATGAGAAGAAGGAGAAGGATGAGAAGAAGGATGAGAAGAAGGAGAAGGATGAGAAGAAGGATGAGAAGAAGGATGAGAAGAAGCAGAAGGATGAGAAGAAGGATGAGAAGAAGGATGAGAAGAAGGAGAAGGATGAGAAGAAGGATGAGAAGAAGGAGAAGGATGAGAAGGATGAGAAGAAGGATGAGAAGGAGAAGGATGAGAAGAAGGAGAAGAATGAGAAGAAGGATGAGAAGAAGGAGAAGGATGAGAAGAAGGATGAGAAGAAGGAGAAGGATGAGAAGAAGGATGAGAAGAAGGAGAGGATGAGAAGAAGGATGAGAAGAAGGAGAAGGATGAGAAGAAGGATGAGAAGAAGGAGAAGGATGAGAAGAAGGAGAAGGATGAGAAGAAGGAGAAGGAGAAGGATGAGAAGAAGGATGAGGAGAAGGAGAAGGATGAGAAGATGGAGAGAGGAGAAGGATGAGAAGAGGTGGAGAAGGGAAGGATGAGGGTAGGAAGGATGGGAAAAGGGAGGGGGAGGGGGGGTGGATGGGGGGGGGAGGGGTGGGGGGGGGGGGGGGGGGGGGGGGGGGGGGGAAGGGGGGGGGGGGGGGGGGGGGGGGGGGGGGAAAGGGGGGGGGTGGGGGGGGGGGGGGGGGGGGGGGGGGGGGGGGGGGGGGGGGGGGGGGGGGGGGGGGGGGGGGGGGGGAGGGGGGGGGGGGGGGGGAGGGTGGGGAGGGATACACTTTTTTAACTTTTTGCCGGCTTGGAATTATTCTTATTTTTCATCCTACTTCTTCTTCTTCTTCTTCATCCTCATCCCTCTTCTTCTGAGGATGAGGATGAAGAAGAAGAAGAAGAAGTAGGATGAAAATAAGAAATCCAAACCGGCAAAAAGTGTATGTGCAGAGTTCCTCTATTTCTGACAGTTCTCTGACAGCTCCTTCACATGTACAGCGGTTGAAACATCTGTATCCTAAATGGAAACTAATAGACAATGTTTCAGCCGCTGTACATGTGAAGGAA